ATTTGAGACCATTGACGTTATCATTTAATGAGATGTTGTTAAAGGCCAGGTGCATGTGAACACATTTCAGTTCATCGGCTGAAACTAGGCCACGTAGCGTCCACTCGTGGATGAGCCTGGGCCCTGTTCTGACACCGGAGCAAAATTAACTTACAATTATGTTGGTCCGCCACATGCGCCGGCAAGCTCTCACGAACTTGTTCGTTGCGCAACAGTGTCCGCCTCGATGTCAGTGTCCGTCTTTTAGTCCCTGGTTAACCGTGAACAAGAGCGTCCAACACTGAATGTACATTGATGATAATTTCCGAGGCGAAGCGACGACAAAATGCACCGACCCGCTGTCGTCACCAGCAGATCCTTCTGCCAATACCTCTCTTCATGGATGCACATGCCCCTAGTCGAGTCCATGCCTGTAAAAGATAACAGGAGTTCCCAACTCCGGACATCCACCTTTACCGAATATCGGGGGAAGATGGAACCGATTGCAGGATACTGTTTTGAGCGTTTCCCACGTCTTTCAACGACGGAAAGAGTCATTAGAAGCGACTCACTCGTGAATGTGATAAAACCCGGAATTCGGAAACTCTGAATCAGACCAATTAGTTCGGACGCTAACCATCAAAGCCAGTCCGAAGGCCAAGATTTCAGTCGATGTCGAGTTACAGAGCACTCAATCAAAATCGTGGACTCCTTAAGCGACCCGAATCCGATCCAATTATCTTCGACAAACGGTCTGAATGCGAAAGTTCGTCTTTTCTCAAACCAAACTCGGTCATGAGCACTCGTGGTGATCGAATACATTCGCCGGCAGTTTCAATTTTCTCCTTCGTGTTTGAATAGTCTACACCCTGGTCGATCCCGAGCTCGGCGAAAACGAGAGGTCGCTGATATTTCACCCAACTGTTTACGTGATTTTATGACTAGTTCGAAGATGAGTTGCCTCGACGCTCCGCCGGATTCGTATCCGAAGGCAGATGGAAACCATCTGGACCGATTCACAGCCGAACCCTTCAGAACTCCTCAGAAATCACGTCATTTCAGCTCTCACGTATGGAGCCCGCTTAGAAACTTAACGTGGTCACGGATAAGCAGTGCAGGTATATGTGCAAATAGTGGTGACGTAGAGGAGCCGAGAGTAGCGAGTGACCACTGCTCGTCATCCGCGGTCCGGTTCCAGCTCCGTTCTTAGGTGATGCTCCCAGTGGCGAGTTGTGACCTATGGCTCACAACAAGGAGCAGGTGATTTCTCCGGGATTATTCACTTCTCGTTCCCGGTTCGAATCATGAAATGGAGTTGAGACGGCTGCAGCTGCAAGTCGGATCCTCGGAGGGGCCGCGTTCTGAAGACGTCAAGCGAAGGATCGGTCTTGTTGAAACACGAGCCACGCGACTACTCACCTTGTTTCGGTGTGCGCTCCTCAAGCGGAAGGCCCATCATCATTTCGTTGGCTCATGGCAGAAATTCGGGGTGGGTTCGCTCGAACGCTTTTAATCGCTTCCGACATTTTCGTTGCGTAGATGCCAATGTTGAAATTACCTCGAGAGGATGCGTCGATTCTTTTGAACGAAATTTTGATATTAATTATTCACCGCGCGTGGTCAACATCGGTAGTGAGCGCATCGGCGGTGGCCGAGAGGAGCTCGAGAGGACTTGAATGCTTTAGAATATCTCATATTTCGCAAGCAATCCAATAAGCCAGCCAGCCATCTGTCTGTGAGTTTTGGACTTCATATTTCCCTCGTCAGTGTTGGCACCGACGCAGAGCTACCTGCAAACCGCTCCTCGTCTTTCGAGGGCACTCGACTCAGAACTCGGGGGTCTCGCTCGACAGAAATGAGTTGGGCATCGAGCCCACAAACAGTGCCGCAGAGAGAAGGAGGGGGATCGGAGCTCCAATAAATGACTCCTGCAACTCGGAACCCGCGGGCTTATTCTTCGAATGGGAAGATATCAAACGGAAGGCCAATTTCTGCCTGAAAATCATCTAAGAGCGAGGGTACACGAGAGTTCCGTGGAGGATCCTGGAGTGAGCTCGTCGAAAGCAGTGTACTCGAAGTGGGCGCGCACGATCCTGTTTTGAGGCGAGATCACTCCCATTCTGAATGCAGTCGAAGAGAAGCCGCTTAGCGTCGGGCGGCTCCAGATGCGATCCGCCGCGTGCGTTTTCCCCTGACCTGTAGCTGAAGTTAAAGTGCTCAAATCACCTGTATGCTCTACCCGAGGAAAAGCTTGGATTTGGAATGAGGCGTCGGGAATGGTTCCGACACCGGAGCCTGTCAGATGTCTCTAACGAATGGTCCTCGATCGAGAATCGCTCCAGTCCGCCTGTTACGAGTGAGGTCTCCGACGAATTCCGTACTCTCTCGGGAGCCGTCGTGAGTCGGGTTCAGCTATACGGTCGGAGCTCCTGCTCACTTCCGTCAGTCTGTCGTCGGGTCGCCAGCTGAGCGAGGTGAATTCACCTCAGACAGGCTCTGATTGCGCACGAGCGGCACATTGTCTTCGGAACATGCACCATGCGCCATCCCTACTGGCACCCCAGACCACTCCACGTACGTAAAAGCGAGCTACAGCACTAACCGCCTTCCGCCAGCCGACAGCCGCGCACCACATGACGCCCACAAAAATATAGCGTAATGACGACAGCGAAGGAGCTCACCGAAAACGTTGTTCGGTTCGTCCCCGAATCCCTTTTGATTTTGAGAAGTTTTTTCAAAGAGCTCTTCGGAGAGTCGGCGTCCCTCCGCTGCGCTCGGCTCGGCTCGGGGGGAGGGGATTCAACGTCGAAGGAGATTCCCGATGCATTTCTCCATATCCAGCGGGTAATAATCAGAGCTCGGAAGTTCAGGCACTCAAAAATCTCAGAAATGGCAGGCGGAAAGGCACTGAAAACCCTCGAAAAAGCACCGAAACTAGGCAAAATAGGCGTTAGAGGCAGGGAAACAAACGCATCGAAGCGCCCATCAGTGTCGTATTGTGAGAATTTCATGTGGTAACATGGACTGCCATCAATGAGTAATCGACGCCGATCCGATACGAGCATTTTACAAGGACGAATTTTTTTTGCGCGCTCTGGCGGAGCATCGGAACTTGTCGAGAGCAAGATGTGCTCCTGGGAACTAGGTTCGCCGACCTCATCTCATCACCGTTCTCAATAAGAAACCCTCAGTTTCCCCCGAAATCCTCGGGATTCGGCCCATCAGAAGTTCGAAAAGGCACTCTAGGCACGAAAAAATGAAACAGGCATTTCACGTCGAAAAATGCCGAAAAAATTCCGAGCTCTTGTAGGTAATAATGCTCCCAGTACCGGAGGTTCCAGAGGGCAAGATGACCTCTCTGCTCACTCAGACACGTGGGGGAGGGGGGAAATTGCTGTCGCCGTGAGGCTTCATTGCACGTTCGAAACTAGCGAGAGGAATATAAGCCCTTGTCTCTGGAGAACCGTCAGTAAGTTCCCCACATGCCACACAAAGTCGTTGACAATAATTCATCGAAACGCGGGCACGATATCAAGTTTTTCGATTTGTTTCTATGCGATGGAGCAAGCCATCTGGGTATCAGACACGCGAACGCAATCCTCAAGGAGCCCAAACCTCCCGCTCGCGTCAGTCCCGGCGAGAAGTCCTGGGCTATTCTACTGGGTCTGTAAATCAGTCGGGTAATCGGCGTAGAACTAAGCTCATTTCATTCTTCCTCACCTACTCCTCCAAAGACGATATATGAAGCTATCTGGTACTTGTACTACTGATTTTCCTTCTCCATGAATTCGACAGGATCCATGGACATGAAACGGCATTAGTTCATGGAGCGTCGTCCATACAGACATACATCGCTTTATGGTGATTGAAATAACTCTTGCTGTAGATCAACAGAGTCTTGAGGCGAAAATTCGCGAATATTGCATTGATACATGATCATTGATCAGTCTCGAGTCGTCGAAACAAGAAGATCCGTTTCGGGATCCAGGTAGAAGGAGACTTCAATGGTCATGTTTCCGGAACCTCCTCCATCGATACATCTACCCAAACCCGAGAGAAAGAAACTGTCTTCTCCTAGACTCTCGTTCTGCCCTGGACGAATTAGAGACTGAACCCCGCAAGTATTTTTCGTCGGCGATCGATCTCTTCACGAAAGTGGTTGCGTTGTTCTTCGTGATTCGTCCCGAGCCCACCTAAATGAGGAATGATTGCAAAGTGATTGAAACCCCGATTCCAGGAGGCCGAAATCCGTCTGAATTGACCAGTGTGAGATGATCCATGACAGGTATATGTACTTTCGCCACAGAATCCCCAGGATGGCTTGTGAACAGAGTTGTACGCCGCGCTGAGCATTGCAAGTCCCACAGACTCAATGCTTGAGCGCCATGGCGTGCCGCGTTCTGGATACGGCGCACAGCATAGCTTGTGAATCGACTGAAGAAATTACAGATTTCGGAGACCGCCTTTTCTCCGTATCTAATTGACGGAATCGAGCCGCCATAATCTTGCCGGTCAAAACTGCCGACGCTGGAAACTTCTCACCACCATGTTTTTCTCGATAGGATGCGTGATCCTCGAGCTTCATCATCCCGAGCCTTTCTTATGGCCTACTTGACCCAGGCGAGGGGAATTTCGAGGTCGGGATGACCTCCTGATGATGCCTCACGAGGAGTCAAGCATATTTGACAATGACAATTCTCTTGAAGAGATGCTTTGCTCTTTCGGATTTAGACGATTAGGTTGTGACCATTTTTCGTGATTCGCACCCCACGTTCGCTACCTACCGGGGGCTACAGCGTAGTTCTTCGCTGAAGCGTGGGATTCTGAGTTTCACCCGGAACGGAGGAATCGGAATCGGAGTCCACTCTAGGAAGAAATAGAGACAAGCTCATCTGGTCGCGACTAGGCGCTCCGCCGCTCACGCACCTTTTCAGGCCGCCTCGCTGTTCTTTCGGGCTCTCGTCATTTCGCGCCACTCGATTCAAAATCTGTTCGCGAACGTAAACAAATCGGTGCGCACATGGAGCGCTAAGACTTCACTTCCGTGCGGTGGTCCCGCGCCGGCTCGACTTCTGAAAATTCCCCGGTTTTCCGCTACGAGTCACGAACCTCCGCAGATTCCAACATGAATTTGGGATCCGACAGGAAAACCAGAGTTGCTGCATCGGTCCCGTACCAGAGGTTCATGGTGCGACCGAGAGAACCAGAGAAAGAGGTCTGTATCCGCGTTTGACGGATAAACGGCGCTGAGTTCCGTCGGTGCCGTTCGAGTAGTAGGCGATCCTATTCGCGTCGAGTGGGTTTGGCTGTCACGTCGAGTTCCATTCGCGGCGGGTTCGCAACTTAGTTCGAAATCGCGTGTTTCATCAGTCATGGATAGTGACGGCATCGAATGAGCTTCGATTCTCGGACTTCAAAAGCGTTTCGTCGCGGAAGGATCCATTGCCTCTTGACGATGCCTCCCCCCCTCCCGCAGTAGGTGCCCGGCTGTTTAGCATTTTCATATTCTACGATTTTTCAGTTCTGTAAGCGCAAAGACGGCCGCCGCGACGAAGAACTAAGGCCCCGGAGTGAGTGAGATACCTATCAGCCTGTTTCGAACTTAGCATTTCTTGTTTAATAGATAGGACGGAGGTCGAGCAGAAATATTTTCTCATGGCTGCTCCATTTCTCATCAAAGTTTTCGAATCCGGCTTGGTCAGCGATGCTTCTGGATCGGGGTATGTGGAACAAGGCAGCACCAAGGTCGTCGCCGCCGTTTTTGGCCCTCGAGAAGTCACCCGCCGGAAAGAGTTCTCGCTCAAAGCGCAACTGAGGTGAGATTTCTCGTCTTCCAACGGCACTCCTTTCGATACCCAGCGACTAGCTGATGCTCGACATGTGGTCCATCGGCTTCATTCGGAAGAGTCGCTCAGCATCCGCTAGCCTAGGGCCCAGACGAGTGATTCGTGTTGCGCATTCCGAAAAGCGACATACGTTGTCATTGGAGTTGAAAAAAACAAATTCACACCAGCTACGTTCCATGATCCTCAGATGTGTTTTCACGTTCGAACCTTTCGCGACCCCGGGGGGAAGACAGGAGAACATCTCCCTGCTGGAACAGAGATATTCCTCTTGGCTTGAAGAGAGTCTCAAGCCTGTCGTGCAGCTAAGACGATATCCGAAAGCTTCAATCGATATCAGGGTTACCTGTCTCGAAAACGATGGCGGTGTCTTGGCGGCAGCTCTCACCGCCTGCGGAATAGCGCTGGCTACCTCCGGCATCGAAACTTTCGATCTCGTCATCGGAGTGAACCTCCGAGCTCACGGGGATCGAGTCCTCATGGACCCCAGTCATGCAGAGGAGGACGCGGCGCCCTCGAGGGAAGGCACCTACGGAAACGTGACGCTCGGATTCATGCCGGTCAGTCTAAGGAGTCATTCGTGCTGTTTCAAGCTCCCGACGAAGGCGGGACCCTTGTTCCTAATGGAGCTAGGTTGATCCAGATCCCCGAATATTCTCGTAACGATTGCTTCTCATTGACCAGGTTTTGTGTCAGATAACCGGACTCCTCCAAACGGGGGACTCGGAACCCGCGACTCTTTGTCAACAAATATCGTCGCTAATTAAGGTTTGTTTGAGTCGATCAGAACCGGCATCATGATACCGCACGAACGATGCTTGTATTCCGCGCTGCGTCCTAAATTTCTCTCATGCGCTTCAGATTGCACACGGCGTTAAGCCTTTGATGGAGGAGTGTCTGATCGATCTCGGTAAACTTCAAGAGAAACTCAGTGAAGTCCAGATGTGATCGCGGTTAAGGGATCTGGAAAGAGGTGGTGTTCGAGCCGCATCCAAACTTGTACATATTGTGCCGTCTGCCTGTCGAGAGCATGAGCTCTTGGAGACCCGACTCATCGATTCAAAATAAATGTGGAGGTCTCAAACAAATGTTCAATAAAGCCGGATTTATTTAACTAACCACGCTACTCTGTATGTCCCAGAGTAGTTCTGATGGGTCCTGGGCACAAACTGTGTGCTCGGAACTATATTTCAGCTCCGGTGGAGCACCGAGCCATCGGTCGCCAGGAGGTAGAGAACGAAGATTCCGGCTTCGACATCCGGATCCACATCACAGCTATGTCGAGTCTCCCTCCGAAGAATAAATTATATATATTATCGTAGATGTCACCACTTCGACACAACTGAATCATTACCCACTCTTTGACCCGGGAGGCTGAGACGAGCAGATCGAATCAAATTAGTTCTCCGAATGCTCCTCTGGGCTTGTCGAGAGACTCCCATTCGGCCAGAATGGTTTCCAGCTGTTCTCTTACGTCGATCATGAGATCGTCAGGCGCGGCTCTTGGCTTCGGGACGCCTACCACTTCGATGAGGCCGGTGCTGTCGTCGAAGTAGAGTTCAGGGGATTCCGGGAGGATCGGGAGAGAATCTAGAAGGAAGATCTCCTTGGAGGTAGAATCGATTTCGTCTCTCCACACGACGCGCGAGAATTGTGGTCAGAGTAGTAAGAAGGATAAGTAGATTCGATAAACCCGAACCCTTGTTGTGTCTCTGCGGCTGATCACTGATGGGGTTTATCCGCGCAACCTCTGAAGGGTTCGGATCGAGGTCGATACGGTCCAGCTGAGCCGTCAAGATATCAGAAATCGGCTCCACTTCCTCTTCCTCAGCCGGGAACTCTGATGAGGTGGAACCTAATCCTTCAGGGCCGGACTCTCTGTCTCCGTGATCCTCCATGTCTCTCCTACCTTCAGGATCTCCCCTGTGAGGGATCACGACCAACGGTTCAGCATCTTCACACCGCGGTTGCAGTATGGAATCGAAATGGTTCATTGACAGCGAGTCATTCGAATCCAGAGGCAGAACGTCTTCGCGAGCTGGGGATCGAAGGCAGGAGTCAGGGTCCTGTTCTTCGCGCTTGACAAAGACACCCATTACGGGTAATAGACTGAGCAAGATGAATCCCCGTCATTTATGTGGATTTCGCGCTATATCACTCATCGGAATATCTCACCGGTCCCTACAACTGTTGATTCTCTACGCCTGATCTCCTCGAAGACTTTCTTCAACATTTTCCGGCGGTAACGCAACCACTGCCGACCAGGGAAGGGGTTCTCTCGTCGTTTCGCTTTCATGGCCACGAAGCTTGCTTTTCGCTCGGGGCTCTGACGATAGCCCGCGAACGAAGTTTTCTTGGAGCTCGCGGAAGATCTATGCTACAACATCCAGCAGGCCCGGGTCCGATATTCGCAGCTCCACCGTTCGAGCTCTTGTTTTTCACGCTAAGAACACATGTAAACCGCGCGTACTTGTCCAGACGAGATTCGTGCTACACTTCCGCATATTGAATATGTCCGGGACGTCTTCAAATCGGCGTGCCATCTTGGAGGCGACGACCAACCCTTCTTGGATCCAGAAGCAAAGCTCCACCTCCTCTTTGGACCCGATCATACCACGAAATCCCATGGTTCCCATAATATTCTTAAGGAGCTTCACATCGAGAGGCATTCAATGAGTGGGATTCGGTCGGGCAGGGAACGCCGTAATCAGTCGTTCTGTGAAGAATCATGTCATGCTCCTAGGGGAGATGGATACGGAGCTCATGGTCATGCTCGAAACCGAGAGAACCATGGGTGCTCACGAGTCCGGAATCTGGATACTTCATGTTGCTCCCTCTACGTTCTTTCGATGAACACTTGAATGGAATAGGGATTCGACTATCGGACCGAAACCTATACGTTGGCGAATCGGCATGCTTTCGCTGATCTGACACCAGGTGATTAAGGAACGGCTGACAGCGTTTTTTCGCTCTCTGCTGCTGTAGAAGGAGCGGATTCTTCGATCCCCGGAAATGGGCCGGCAATTCGCGAAGGGAACTTGATTCCAGAACTCGAATGAGGAATTGCCGTTTTCATGATTTTGATACAATTAATTTATTCCCAAGTAAAACGTCGCGAGGATTTTATGTATAAGTATGTATATATGTATATATACTTCTGTGTTTAAGTAATGTGTACTGCGTGGAATCTTTTCGACGAGTGTCGCGGGTTTTCGCATTTTTCGACGTGAATGTGACAATTCAGTATCAAGTTATCAATCAGGGGAAGATCTGCCATAGAGACTTAATCCTGATACAAATCAAAATAGAACACGTGATATGCAGAGACAAAATATCCGTCAGAAGCGATGAACGCCTTCGGAACGATGCGCCATCGACTTGGATGGCGTAAACTTTTCTGAGATTGGTCTGATGATTTCCCTCTCTCGAGTCGGGAAAATAAGCAAGTGGCGTCATACGTTCAGAGACCGGCTCTCTAGCTGAGTAGAGGGTAAAGGGGGACGCAAGTTGAACCGCGCTTACGATTCACATCATTGAGAAGATGAATACTCTTGACAGGTCGAAGGAAACATTTTCGACTGAATTGAAAGAACATCAACAGCCTACCTAAAGACGACTAGTCGAACAACTGAACAGCTGAACATAAACGACATCGAACGCTGATAGAGTATGGCCGCTCCGATTTTCGAGCATGATCGCAAGTGACAGCAAGCTATTTCGTGTCTCACTATTGGTTTTCGCTCTCGTTTTGAAGTTACAGTGAAAATAACGTAGCTGGCAAGGCAGCAGATTCGAGTGTCAAGCGAAAGGCGTAGACAAGCGGCTCCGTGGAAAACGGAGCCCGGGTGTTTGCTGGAGGAACGCGACAGTGTGCTCACATGCACTGAGTTCCCGCTCTCCGGAGAGAGCTTCTAATTACTTAAAGTGTAAGTGATTGTTTTGATTGTGATTGTCAGTGGATAGGTTGAGAGAGTGGAGGTCGGGGCAGGTGGCGAACAGCTGCAGGTGCAGAATCCTCTCCACGTCAAGACAAGCATACGTACGATTCGGAGATCATTCTTCCATCCCTTGTTCGTCCGATTAAGCGGTACGTCAACATAAGCGCGTAGGTAGCACGGCAGTCCTTCCGGCTCATCGCTGAGAGACCGAATTCTGTCCGGTAGGTTGAAATTTTGGTCCCCGAGGAGGGAATCGCTCAATGACCCTCGGCCTGAACTGCTACGATTGCGAAATCGTCGACGAAACGATAAGGATGCCGTGGCAAGGGTTCGTCATCGACCCACCTAAGCAGTAGAATCAGCCGTCGGGGGATCCGCTTCATCTACCACATGAAAGACTGTGAACCGCAAGAGAAGCTCACTCGGTATTGTTGACAGATTGCTCTCTTATTGCTACGCATACATCATTGAGTCGTGTCCGTCGTTCAATTTTCTGGTAGTCACCTATCGATCGTGATATCTATAACAAGCCACACTGGGCCGCTTAAAGCCATACGCTGACGAAAGTGAAGAGGGAATCAACTGTTTCCGCTCATTCTCTGCGCCGTCTCCGACTCAGACGCATGGCGGAGCGGCGAAGAAACGAGATCTATACCGTTATGTCTCACGCACAGTTAGATAACGAGCAAACGTTTCGTATTCGTTCCCGATGTCGTCGAACGTGTTCCTGCCCGTTCGAAAATGATTGTACATAGCATCTCAAGTTTGTGGCGGTCGGTATCTAGGAGAGACGGTCAATATGAAAGACAATTGGTCAACCCCGAGAGAAGAGCACTGACTCCGGGCAAGAGGCCGATAGATCTGTGTGGACCTCGTCTGCAATATCGGTTGATCTGATAATATTTTTTCCGTATCTTTCGACCAAACATAATGATTAATGTCGCCATCGAGAATCTGTTTTTGTCGGCGCTCCCTCCCGGGCTGAGGGGTCCGTCCGGAAGCTCGCTCTCGCTACGCGAGAATTTGTTCGGGACAAGCTCCAATGTTGCTCTGATTCGCCCGGTAATACCGTTCCAGAGACGTGTCGACGATCTCAAAGTTGGGGATGAGCTATATGCTTTGGTCATGTCAGGCAGGATATCTGGATGATTCGTTCGTGAGCCTCGGGATATTCAAGGAGAAAGACAAGAGCGAAGACGGACATAATTGGACGAAAGACGAGAGCTGCCCATTCTTCCGTTGATTAGAAAATATCCAAGAAGTCTTTCCTCAGATGCGAAACTGGCTCTCCGGCGCACAGCAATTGAATCACCGCTCGTCCACTCGTTGGACATTTCTCTCTTGCATTCACTCTGGAACTCGCACAGCGCGCCCTCTACCACGAGGCAAAACTTCTCGCTCAAGAATCGATCGGAGCGAGCACGAGACATGGTCAAATGTGAAAGCTGCTCGCTAACCCCAATCGTGAAAGCCCCTCGGTTACTTTGAATCACAGCGGATTCTGGAATGGCTACTGGACCTTCCTTCAATAATGTAGGTGGGTGCGCTCGAACAACGGTGCTCCTTGCCACCGGAACAACCGAAACGGATCGAAGTATTTCCGGATTGATGACGCATTATTCCCGTCGATCCCGCTGGAAGACCCATCGTCGCGGCGATAAGCAACGAGGAATCCCGTATACCAGGAGCGTCGATCACCAGCGCTTCTTTGGTCGAATTTTCTCGAAGAAGAATTGCTGTGAGCCCTGTTCGCTATTGAGCTTATCCTTTATGGAGTTGAAGTGTCTCTTCGCGAATTCGTAGAACTCCGATTCGAGTAAGTAGGTTGGCCATTGCTTGATCAACGCCACTGTCTCGGCGTTGACTGGCTTTTTGTTCGAAGTTTTCCTCAGGTGCGACTTTTTGCCTGCGGAAAAAAGAGCTCTTGGAATTCAGTCCTGATCGTGCCTACGACTCGAAATGACTCAGAGACACTCGAACGTCCGATGCAACCATTCGACAGATCCAATCGACGAGGGACATTACCGCTGTGGAACAACTGGGAGGCTCCTCGGAAGAAACGCGGTAAGACAACTTCCAGGATGTCAACAAAGTCCTGTAGCTGCTCCGTTGTCCCGACCTGGAATCGGAATATTCAGCCATGTTCAGCCAGAGGAGTCTCTTATCTCTGATTTTAGGCGACTCGTGAGAGGAAACGCAATCTCTGAGAAACAGGAATGATTCATTGCTAACCAGAAGATATTTGTTTATAAGATTCATTTTAGCCTGTTCCAGGGCCCATCGACTGCCGGGTTGCCAGCAGTTCGGCGTGTGACCGCAGAAGAAAGGAATCTGGAGCCACATCTTATCCTCGGAGCAATCCTGCCCCATCTGTTTGACGCATTCATCGAACGTTCGTTTGTCTCCGCTTCGTCTACGTTGAAGATGTGGTCGGAAGTCGTCCCCGTTGCGGAGAAAGTAGTAGTAGCTGACCTGAAGAGGGAGACAGATTAAATCTTGATTTATGGGCTGTCATTTCGCGTTTTGTTCGGGTGGACCCTCGAACTCGAGGTTGCAAATACGACTCGGAATGAAAACAGCGAAGACAGGTGGCTCAGTATTTACCAGCCGTTCAAGCGGTTCGCGGACGATATTGATGTAGATCGGCGGTGGCATCCCGAAACGAGCGAAATCCAGGAATGCCACGTGTCCATGATACATTGAAGGTCTCATCGACTCCCATTGCGAAATGTTCACTGAGTACCTGAACGAGTGACGATTCTCTTGTTAAGTATTGAGGCCAGCTCTCATTTCCGAATCGCTCAACAATCGATTGTCCAGTACGCTCAAAATAGCCCTTTCGGAGCATTCGCACGTCAAACGTAATTAGACTCGACTCCTCCAAAGCAGACTTCGTAGCTAGGGTCGGACAGTCCAACCGAGTCCTCTCTCCGATTCCCTGAAGCCTTCACGACTCTAATCTCCGAGACTGCGGAGCTCGAGCTGCTAAATCCAATGATCCAAGAGGAAACAGGCTTGATGCGTTCGATCGGTCAATCGTGCAAGGGGTTCCGACTCCATGATCTGACTCACCTCATTTGGTCGGCGATGGACATGACGTGCATGTTACGACTTGTGTTGATGTGAAGGACGAAAAACTTGTTTTTTACACAAAGGTCGTAAGCAACTCCAGTGAAGGACGTCGATGCCGTTTTCGGAACTCGATTGTAAATTATGACCTGCAAAAGTCAGCCGTTCACGGATTCAGTAGCCATGGCATCGGCTTCAAGTCGAAAGTCCGCGCGGTAATGGATCGGCGTGATCTCGATCTTACGATAGTTCGGATTTCCATCGATCAGAGCTATTTAATGAAAAATGAAGGAAGAGGGTTCGCATTGTTAAACAAACCTGATTCTCGAATGTTTTTAGAGGGAGTCCTAAGGATTCATCTAAATCTTCGTTCTGGGAGGATTGCTCTCCTATCGCAGAATAACGGTTGAAATTAAGCCGTGCGAGCATTTTGCCTGTGGAATAAGTTCGAACTCAGGCCCTTCCGATCCAACGATCATGAGGTTCACTTCACGGTACTAATCAACTTCATCCATTAGACCCGGAGCATGAGGAGAGCTTAAGATTCCGTCGCTGAAATCTGATTCCCGAGCCACCCCGACGAAGAGATTTCCACGCAACGCCAGACTCGAGAGACGGTTCTCTCACGGAAGGATAACTCGGATTCAAGAGGTCGAAACCAAAAACTAATCGCGTAAGTCCTGAAGTCGAAAGCCAAAGCACGAGTTGATTGATGGTCCGTTCGTCGACTTGAGGTCACATTTCATAAACTGAATCCACGTCGCTTCTCACAACAATCGACTCTGAGGCAGCCGTCACGCTGATCTCATCGCTAGTTCATGGCCATCTTCCTAGAATTATGACATCAAAGGGAATCTCGCGAGCGCTGTGAGTGATGATATCGTAATCTAGCTATGGTCGACTAGGAGCGAACTCGGGAGCTTCACGTAGGTACGTGCTTCGCTCAGAAGAGTGATCTTTTCTCGAATACGGTACGCCCCGAGATTTGATCGGTGGACAGCGCCAAACCTTTCAGCCCTTCTGAATAGGTCTAGAGCGAATGGTGCATATTTAGACGTTCATGAGATACTCAACGGAGGGTAGCGATTTTCGGTGCTGAAAGGACTCACCCATGTATTGATTGGTTTCCTCGATGGTTCTCATTCGATGTTCGAGCTCGGTAAATAGTAGAAACCACACACCAAAAAATACGAGCCCCGCAAACACCCGCCACAAAGCGGGAGTTCGCGCCACGGAGGAGAACATCTCAAGGCTGCGGGTCGTCACATCCTGCTTATAATGTTTCGAAGAGGCCGACTGATGGGTCAAGAGCTGCAGCTTCAATTCGGAGGACATGCAACTGAGAGCACGGCCGACTCGGAGGCCAAACCGTACTTTGCCCCCGACACTGCGCTGTCTCAGTCGTCAGACATGGAGAAGTTGTTCCTTGCTCGTATCAGCAGCAGCAGCTGAGACACCAGAGCAGACGACAGCAGCGGCGATCGATTGGAGCGAAAGAACTTTACAATCTCCTCGCGCACCGACTATGGTATTCCTTCGAGGCGTTTCACATAACAATCAGAATCTCTTGGATGACCGCAAGAATTCCCGCTGACGTGCTCCTTGGTAAGATGATCCGGGCTTATCTTTCCTCGAGAATGAGGGAGGTCGAGATATTCTCTCTCATTCCGTGTAGTCCAGTCGCTAAATCTCGGAAGTCCGTGGATCAGGCTAGTCCCTTGAATTTCGATAACCGGGTTCCCGAAAGCTCCCGAATAAGATATGGCTCTGATGAACTTGCGTAATAAATCAGAATTCGCTCTTAAATGATCGTCTCTGCGCTGAATCATGGTATGGGCATCCGAGTCATGCGAGAACGGGACTCCTTAGGTTTATCCATGGAAAACCCGTACCTCGGATATTGGAGAGACCGGATATAAGCGACCATTTTCAGTTCCCCGAGAGGTCTCCTATAAGCGGTTTAGACTGTATCTCTATTAGGGTATGAGTCTCAGCTGCACTTTGCACGAGGGGTGGCAAACGCCTTCAGCACTCGGCCACCCGTCGGTATATTCCGATGCACCAGAGGTTCTCGAGGTGTCATCCCGGTCTCTTGTTCCAGGTGGATGGCTTGGAAGTCGCCGCAGGTAGTGCTTCTATTGTTCTCCAGATCGGAGAGGAACAGCGCTACGCCCGGTTCTCATCAAAGCTCATTGTACCGATATCAATCTCGAATAGAGTGTGTACGCTGAAGATTCACTCCCTAAGTCCAGGACTCCCTGAGGAGGGAGCTGTCCCCCATTCAGAGATTGAACGCCTTGAAGTACACAGGGTACTCAGCTAATTGCATCGCAAGTCACGGAAATGCTCGATCAGCGACGAGGAAGCTACTCGGACCGGTCACGGGAATCTCAGAAGCCATCGGCCGGCCGAGGAGAAGTCGGAACAACATGCTCACGGCAAGAGTCCAAGAGAGTGCGCGAAGAGCGGAGCTTTCCGGCCGCGTATCTCGGAAGAAGCCATCGGTGTCAGGGAGTTTTCAGGCTAACTCACAGCCAGCTCCTCCTGATATGTGGAGAAAACGATTCAGTGTTAATTATTGAGTTCTGTGCTTAGAGGTAGGGAAGTAACGACGTGGCATCAACTGTCTGGACTACTGAATAACTTCTATAACGAAGTTATCAGCCTTTTTATTGGAACCGGAATCGATAGAGGGCGAGGAGGACCTAACATTCCTCCCTTTCTCCCGAGGGAGTGAGTCCTGCAAGTCGCCTGTAATCGACCGGGGGAAGTAGACGGGGAGACCTTCTTAAAACCGAGTCTGGGCTAGAGTCCGCGAAAATAGGACCCAGAAGTTCCTCATTGTCCACGCTCAGAGGTTCCGGTGCGCCCTGAGCCCTTTTCCGGACCTGGTTCCTGTGACGTACGTGCTCTTTCCCGTCCATCGAAACCAAAACCAGGGCGTCGCCCCTGAAACCGCTGATTTCACCTCGGACCCGGGAGCCATTGGCCAGCTCTATCGTGATTTCCTCTCCCAAAGATAGAGAACGTGGAAGCGTGCCATGCTGGGTGTCGAAATACTCCTTCATACGTCGTTGGTAAGAGGTGGGAGAGAAATCCGAGACCGGCTCCTTGCGGAAGGAATCGAGAGGCGTTCGGAGCTTGCGTCCGAAAAACAGTTCGGCCGGTGTTAAGTCACCGATAGCGGAACACGGAGTATAATTGTAAGCGGCCACCGCTTCATCCAGGGACTTCGGATCAGAAGAAATCGCGTTCTTTAACGTTGCGACCATCCTCTCCGCCTGGCCGTTGCTTTGCGGATGTCGAGGAGCAATACGCAGGACCTAACATTAATCTTCGATGAATCAAGATTCGATCAGTTCGGCCCGGAAGGTTGCTGGTCGGGCTGCCGTCGTCTGCGCGTCGGCCGCACGATACCGCCCAAGTTCCGCAATACGCTAAAAATACGGTCGAGTATTGAGGAGGGTGCATGCTGGTCTGGGGCTGCTCTTCTGAAAAAGAACGGGGTTCGATCTATCCACCGAAATACGGGCATCATGAAGGAACCTCGAAGAAACTCTCGGTAAACCTGAATCCGATCGAGAATCTGAGAGATGCTGTTGACCGTCGCAGTCGCATCACTTGCGACGAATCCGCAAGCTCAGAGAAATTGTGAAACAAAGCTCGGTACGAAACGCCTCGGGATGTTTGCGTGGAGCTAGTGAAGTCTATACGGAAAGTAGATGCATCGATTTGAACGACACCCGACCGATTCTCGAGCCTGATTGGACTTTTTCCGCCCAATGAAATAGGATGGATTTCGCTTGAGATTTCTCTCGGATTTCCTCGATAGGATTTCATTGGTGGGCCGATGAAACGGCATGCGCACCGGAAAGCTTGTCTTCAGTATGGCGGATTAGCCATCTCCTCCCGCAGAATCGGATCAGTTTCTGGGTCACTATGAGTGAATCGAAGAAGTTTCGCACTGTGTTCAGTTTCGGGGTTGGTTCCAATTTAGAAGCGTCATTTTCAATTAGTCGACGGGAGTTATCCGTTATATGCCCCTGTCGTCCTCGCTCCTCTGATCGAGATCGCGCAAAATCTGATTGAGAGAGAATAAGCACCGTGCCGAAATTTTCAACACACCAAAAATCAAGCACCATCGCTTAACGGGGGAATGCGCTCACGCGTAGCCACACAATCCAACCCCTGTTGATGGATCGGTCTCCCGATCCTGAGTCCGAAAGCTCTCGGTCAACCTGCAAGAGTTGAATGATGATCAGTCTGGGCTGCGTAGCGCCGCAAGCATCCGAGACTTCCCAATTCCGTACAGTAGCGCTTCCACCTCGGGGCTGTATGGGGCTAAAGCACCCCCCCCCCTAGGACATTGTTTCTTTATGGTGAAGTATAGGAGCGGGTCGCCATTTTGGATT